GAAAGAAAAAATGAATTACTGAAKAGTAAAGTTGGAGATGTGCAGTTGTGAGAAAATGTTCACCAGGATGTGGTAGCACTAGAACATCTATTCTCTTTTAAAACTCATTTACCAAGTTTTCTCAGTTCCTTGCTTTATATTTCCATTTAGAGATACGAATGTGCTTTCTAAACTATGCGTCTCTGCCTTTCCCACATAACTCTTTATGTAGAATTGCTCTTGGACCTTGTAGGCCTAAATCAGATGCTTATTACTGCCTTTATTTTGTTGGTTTGTACTCTTTTAAAACCCTGTTTCTCCTGCTTAGACCCTTTCCCATTAGAGAAAGGCTATAAGCAATAGGCTTTAATGGGAATATTCCTCAATTGACCATTCCCTTCTGAAAATAGGAATAATAACAGTACCTGCCTCCTAGGACTGCTTGGAGGGTTAAGTGAGATAATGCATATGAGGGACCTAATGAGCCCAGCATAAAGTRAGCTCTCCAGAGATGCTCATTCCTATTATTAGACTCAACTCCAGAGAGTGCGTTTTAGATTGCTTCTCTAAGCTTGGATCCCTATTAAGCTTTCAGCTGTGCTGTTCTGCATGCTAAAATTGGAAAGGAAATAGGGGACAACTATAGCACATGCACTGAGCCAAGTCGTGTTAGGCAAAAGTCCATAAATGTAAATTAAAATCACACTGAACTTGTCATTAGTCTTTTCATTTTCTCTGATGGAATGGTACCACATATTAGTTTGCTGTATAAGGCATGCTTAACTTTTTTGTGCACTAAATTTTTATAATTAGGAATGTTTGAATTAATAGCTTCTTTCTTCTTTTCAGCATGATCTATGTTTTGGTGAGCTCTTAGAACAACACACAGAAGAATTGGTGCAGTTAAGTGCATGCAACAGCCACCAAATGAGGGGATTCTATCCAGCAAGATCCTGTTTCCAAGAGTAGCCTATGGAATCTGATCAGTTACTTTAAAAAATGACTCCTTATTTTTTAAATGTTTCCACATTTTTTGCTTGTGGAAAGACTGTTTTCATATGTTATACTTGGATAAAGAATTTAAATGGAATTATGTATAAATTAATATAAAATGATTACCTTTGGTGTTGACAGGTTTGAACTTGCACTCCTTAAGGAACAGCCATAATCYTCAAATGATTGCATTAATTACTGACTGTCCTTAGTCCATTGGAAACTTTTGTTTATAGGAACTTGTAGGGCCCATTTTGGTTTTATTGAAATGCCATTARATTATAAATTAGCTGTAGCTATCAGGTGCTTCTGATGAATTGAAAATATGTATCTGACTTGTGGGAAACTTTATAGGTTTCCTCATTTATCATGTAGATGATTATATATGGATACATTTACAAAAATAAGAAGAGTGGGAATTTTTCCCTTCAACTTGAATATTATCCCTGTATATTGCATGAATGAAAGATTTCCCATATTTCCATCAGAGTAATATACTTGCTTTAATTCTTAAGCATAAGTGAACGTGATATAAAAATATATACTGAATTACTTGTGAAGAATGCATTTAAAGCTATTTTAAATGTGTTTTTATTTGTAAGACATTACTTATTAAGAAATTGGTTATATTATGCTTACAGTTTTAATCTGGTGGTAAAGGTATTCTTAAGAATTTGCAAGTACTTCAGATTTTCAAAACTGAATGAGAGAGAGAATTGTATAACCATCCTGCTGTTCCTTTAGTGCAATACAATAAAACTCTGAAATTGACTCATTTTCAGTGCATTGTTTTAAAGATTAAAAATAGCTATTCCTCCTCACATTTGCTTGATCCATATTAGAGACATATGAATATCATTGAAAAAATAGAGTATTGTTACATTGTGGTTTTTAAAAAAATTCCCAGATCTTTAAATGGCCAAGCACATTATCTCTGTTGTCATTTGAGAAGATTCCTAACTATTGATGGTGCAGCATTATCTTTTCTCTTGCCAATTAAAAAAGAAAAATTATTGTGGCACTTAAAATATTTTAAATTTTTTCTTTTTGAAATGGCTCATTTTAAGGTAAARTGACACATAAATTTGAGTTTTTGCTGCTTTTCATGAAGAAAGTAAATTATGGCTAGTATGCTTTTGTAAGCATTCTTCTGATTTATTTGGAATGAGAAAGTTAAAGAAATGGGAAATAATGTAAGTGGTTCAGAAGTTTCTTGAGCATAGCATCAAAGGAAGATAACCAATATGTGGAAATTCCCAGAATGACCAAGGAAGTTGATGGATGTTGTGGAAGTCTGATTCTAAGAACTTCTTGTATTAGTTGCTATTTTATTCTCTACAAATGAAAAAATGCTTGGAAATAATCCTTCACTTTTGTGAGAGTAACTTAACATTTTGGGATTGGGTAATTTGGGTGAGTACATTGAAGAAGAAAATGTAGAACCAGAAGGGTGAGAAGAGTCAAACCATTTCATAACAAGGAAAGCTTTAATGGCCTTTAAATTTATAGTCTGGAGAACCACTAAAGGGAACTGACTTTTTCAGTTTGTGCAGTAAATTATTTACTGAGCACTTACTAGGCGCTGAAGATTCATGCAGTCATTTAGTTTCTAATCCATTTAATTGTACCAGCATCCACTCCCCATTCCCCAATAAGTACTTTTGATTATGGAAGATCTGGCCAAGTCTACAATACAGATAGATTTCCTGGGACTATAATTTTAGTATTCCTGTCATAAAGTATTTTCATGAACCCCTGCTCTCTTAGCAAATACTACTTTGTTTTATAAGTTTTATCGAAATCCTTATAATAATCTATAATCTTCTCTGGGATTAATGAAAAGCTTCTTGGTTGGAAGCCATGTTTTCATGCTGTCAAAAATTCAATGTCCTCATCTGAATCCTCAGGAGATCTCCACAGTGAGGTTCATCCATTTCACTGGTAGATTGTTAGTGCCTACGCAATAAGTGATTAGATGATTGAGTACTTGGATGCTCTAATAATATCTGCCCACTTTTGCCTTTTTTTGTGAAAGCAAATATTCTACTGGCTCATTTCCTTGCTCTGAATTGGATTTGTTCTCTTCTTTGTTTGGGATGGCCCTAGTCTTACTTCTATTATTCCTGTAGGTTCAGCTGAAGCATAGTTAGCCTAGATTTATAATCTTTCCAGTTTATATCAAATGCCTACTCTTTTCCTTATTACAATTACTTTTGATATTGTATGCTTCATTTTATCTTTATGAACTCTGTAGCTCTCAGATGTTTTCCCTRTTTGCACCTACTTTATTACGTCTAGTGTAACTACATTTATAGCTATGACCAACACTTCTTTGTTGCTATGGATACTACAGAGTCTCCRGAATTGAAAGTCTTATTAATGTAGTCTGTTTAGCAGTTATTCTATTGAGTAATACTATATCATGGTAATAGGTCACTTTAGTACTGAGTAGACGTAGGGGTAGAAACTATTGAATACCTGTATCTAAATGTTATTAATGACATTTGATGGTTTTCACAATGTTTAATTGATCCCCTTCACTCCTCATTGTAGGGTAAAGGAGAGTTTCACTCCAGGCCATAGACAAATTGCTAATAAGAAGTTTGAGTTATTTTTAATGGGAAGGGAAAGTAATCGGAAATGAACAGATAAATCTCTTTCGAGTATTAGTAAAACATTTGTGATAATGATCTCTTCTCAGGCAACAAAGTACAGGGCAGTTTGCTGCATGATTCTCTTTGTAAGTCTGTTCAGTATTTTTCAACTTGAGGACCATTCATGCTAAGAGCTTACAGAGCTCTCCTCTGCTCCCTATATCAACATACTTTGAAGGTATGTCTCATATTTGCATAGAAAGGAAATAAAACTATGYGGCAAAATACTTTTCTTTATATAACACTTCTCTAATTATATATTTATGAATAYTGTTCATAGAATATTATTGTCATAGGGCAACTAGTGACATCTGTGTATCTTTTCTACCCTGCATGGGTGAGCTTTCATTTTAGGTGTGAAAATATCACAGCACTATGATATATTAAGCCCATTCAAATAATGATTTATATTAAAAAACAATTTCCCTCATTTTAGAGAGGAAAGAAAAATACTGGTACCTTGTCAAGAATTGTTCATAAAAGTACTCATGTTCATCCTTTCTGAAAACTATTAGTCTCAAATAATTTTAAGTTCTTTGCTCAAATCCATCATTGATCTTTAGTCAGAYCAGTGGCTAGAAAGTCTCTGGTACTAGTTGTATAAYTTAGAGGAGATGGTTCTGAACTAATACCCCAGAGTGATGCCATGAGAAAAAGCGTGGCTCTATTTCTGGATATGTTGACTATATTTCTTAGAACAATTTTACTTTGATTAAGATTCAGAAAGATAAATGTCTAAAAAAGAAGTAGATAACATTTTGTTTTGGAAAATAGTATTAACCACGTACGAATACCAGTCAGCAGTGTTGGAGTAAGGCTTTTGTTCTGCATTAATGTTCTTAGTGCACATTGTACAAATATAGAAGACATCTTGACCTGTAAAGGAATGAATTGCATCTCTCATATGTTAATTATATTTTATAATGCTTTTTCTAAATATTACAGTTTCTTTGGATTATGTTTATGTATTCTGGAGAAGAAAAGTTTCTTAAGTAGATTGATAATTAGGTAGACCCTAAAACTACTAAGAGAAACATAAAATGTGGTTAGCTCTGTATGCTCACGATTTGTTAAAATGTTAAGCTTGGTGGTGCTGTATCACTGTCCAAAGAAAATGCTCTTAAGTAGCCCTACTTTACTCCTTAGAGCTGGTTATTTTGCTTTTGTACATTTAATAAAAACAGTCTCAAATATTTCTTTGTGTAATTCATGGGTAATGGTTGAGTCTGTGTGTTAATATCATCAAATACAGCTAGTTTGTGTTCACCTTTCCCACCCCATTGTTTTGAGGGCTGTCACACAGTTTGGGCAGAGAAAATACTTTTCCTAGAATATCAGAATCACATATTAGWAAACTTAACTGGACAATTTTATTTCAGAATAGTGTCATGCCTTGTTTCCTTGCTATGGAATAATTGATGTTTTCTTATATACTTGGCATTAAAACAATTTAGTCAAGCATTTTGAATACAGAAGGTTTAWTATGCAGTTATGGAAATTAAGATGCATGCACTTTGAAAATTCAATTGATTATTAAAAGATTTGATTAATCCATGCCAATATTTTCCCTAGTATTCATGAGTAAGCTCTGTATTTATATGAGGARATTGGTAATGTTAGATTTGTAAATGTCAGTTTTAGTCTAAAGTTTTACAGGTATTGTGATTTTAAATTGTACTTGGTTGTAATACAGAAATAATGAAGGCTAGTCTGTTGTTGCAACCTATACTCCTAAGCAAACAAACAAGTMAATAAACAACAACTGCATTAGCTATAACTTTTGGCATTTATGATCCGATAAGAAATCTAAGTTAAAGATTAAATACTGGTGGAATATCTGGAACACCCATCTTGCTTAGTATTCTTAATAAAATATTAAGTTCTAGCAGCAGCACATATATAAAAGTATTAAAATATTGATTTTGTATTRTAGAACATACTGGTGCTCTTGTCTGAAGTTCACAAACAGCGCTGGTAATTGTTGTGGAGTTTTTCTTAATGAAATTCAAGTATTTCATCAGCAAGAAGAGTGTGAGACAAAGGAAAACTTTGGGGCACCTTATGATTATTTAAATTTTGATGTGATGAAACTGTCTCCTGTAGAACTGCCTATGAGTTTGCAGTCTGTTGGTAATAGCCAATGACCATTGATTCACTTTTATGATCTCCAGTAGCCAAAAAAGCCATGGACCTATGTATGGGTGTGGTACTGAAACCATCAATATCTGTGGAAAGAGGTGGCTTTGACCCAAATGATTCTTGTTTATGGCCCAAATGATTGTATCGGGTAGCTCATTTAAAGACAAAATATTTCAGTAGTATGCAGTGAGGTGAAGGAATGGGAGAATGAGAGATTATTAATCTGTAGCCAAATACTTTGTGAAAATGAAAGGAAGACTAAAATTCATTCTGTGTAGTTTTTAGGGTGGAAAAATGAATGCTGTAAAAATGGAGCAACTGTCTGAACCAATGAATTCCTTATCTCTGAAAAAATCCCAACAGATGTTGGATAAATACCTGTTTTGATTGATCCAGTGCTGGGAGATCTCTTACAATGCTAGAAATCTATGAAGTAGAAAAACTAATGGAAGAATTTCAGGAGGAATAGAGAGTGAAAGTTCAGCGTGGGTACTCATATAAAAACTTCATACTTCCAATGCCATATGCCAACTCATAGTAACCGGTAGAAAAATGAGACAGACATGTAAATAATACAAATTTGCATGTATTTTTTTCCCAGCATAGGTAAAAATATACCAGAGCAGCCAGTGTATTTCTAAAAGGAAAACTATACCAAATTTCCTGTCTGTGTGTTATGAGTGAAAGAGACAATTTTGTCAATAAAGTTTTAGGGATATCTGCATATATACATTTACATTGAAGTGGATAACACTAGTAGTTTGGTTTCAACACARATGATGCTAGAGAACTCAAATTTCAGACATGGTCACATATACATATATGCTATTTGAAACTCTTTATCTTGACACAGATCTTGATAGTGAMTCTCTTGATGATAGATATGCAGCTAGTTTATCCCGGAAGTCATGAAGATAATTATATTGCTGCAAAAAGTAAAGATATACTGAAATACATTGTAGAAAACTAGTTACCAAAGTATACACAATACTAGCAGGAATGAGGAATGAATCAAAAAAAAAAACAACTGCTAAGAGCAATTCTACATCTTTTTGGCTAAGAAAACATTTGTAACTTGGGGAAGTTTATCTCAAAATCTGAAAGCATGAAATTTGGATGAATGTTTTATAAGTTTATAGAATCATTTCTCTCTATATTGGCAAACTAAGTAAGATTAAAAGCAGTAAATATTTGCTAATGCTTTTTCCCTGTGAAATAAGGAAGGAGAAGGCTCTTTCTATAGCAATTAATAATGGCATATTCAGGGATGGGGTTATGGCTCAGAGGTAGAGTGCTTGCCTACTACACATGAGGCACTGGATTCCATCCTCAACATCAYATTAAAATAAAGATATTGTAACCTCCTATAACTAAAAAATAAAAAATAATAATGGCATATTCAAGAAAATCTTGAGTTATTGAAGCCTCTGTCTCTTGCTTTTTGTGATGATATATTCTACCTGAAACAATTCTTAGAGAATATTTTTTAAAACCAAACATCACTAATCACACAGATAAGCAAAATAAAAGATTTWAAAAATTTATTTGAAGTTTAAATAGTTTCCCAAAGGGTATTTTCACTCTGCCAAGCTGCCAATCATTTCATATTGTTCCTTTGTGTGTGTGTGTGTGTGTGTGTGTGTGTACTGGGAATTGAGGGGTGCACTACCACTGAGCTACATCTCCAGCCCTTTCTGTTTTTTTAATTTTGAGGCAGGGTCTCACAAAGTTGCCTAGGCTCTTATCCTCCTGCTTCAGTCTCCCAAGTCGATGTTATCATTTCTGAGACACTGAAACCATGTGCTGCCAACTTACATTGGCACAAAGATGGTTAAAACTAGTTTGCCACAGAATGCCCAGGTGATGAATTGACAGCTCATAATAGTATGGGCTTCATTCTTTCCAGTATTAAATATGGAAGATAGGCATATTCATTCATATATGAGCCCATATATTTTGTTTCAAAGAGAGTTGAACTTCCTGAATTTGAAACATTTGATTTTAAAATAAGGGGAATTCTCTTTTCAGAATGTATACAGTGAAGCAGACCTTGTACAGATTGTTTTGTGAATGACCTTATTTAATCCTTGAGAATCAAAATGYTTGGTGAATTTATCAATAATTACAGTAATTCACCATATATGATACTAGGTTATACCCATCCCAGCCCTGGGAAGATGGACTTTCAAGCCCAGGGAGCTGCTTTAATGGCAAGGATTCTTTCACACCCCCCTTCTAGTCCTAGAGCTGAGACAGGGTACTTGGAAAAAGAAGGCAAAATTAGCATCATAGTTCTACAAATAAAGTGAAATCACAGACTCTTTTTGATATCATGATTAATATATAATATCCTTAGCACTGCTACTGCAATGTTTTTGAACTATTAAGGGCAGGGTAAATGTAGAAGAGGTCACTTCAGGGTAAATGTGGAAGAGGTCCATGGCTAAAGACAATTAGTACTGATTTACATTTTTTATACTATTAATCTTTGTTCAATGTTTTGATGATATAATAGGATCTTTAGTTCTTAACCAAATTTATAGTAACTATCTCATTATTCCAAGTGAGATGATCCATTCCTAGAACTAATGGGGGAAAAAAACTGCAATGGTAGATCTTGAAAGAGTAAAGTAGAAAGTTTAAAAATCTCATTATTTTTTTAAATACGGAGCTTTTGTAGATATCTTGGTTATATTTAAATATAAATTTTAAAAATAAGTGTTTGACCAATAGYATGCTTTGGATTTTCATCTGGTGCCCTCTAGTTGTATATTATACTGTCCTTATAACAGACTGCCCCTAACTGCAACCAAACAGGAAGAGTCAAGTGTCTCACCTTTATGGTCTGTATTGCCCCAGATCCTCTTACATCTCTCAGGCTGTCTATGGCTTGCTGAGGTGACACAGTGTCAGATAGGTATAGAAGGAGACAAGCAGCTACTAAGAGAACATGCCAGAAAAATAATATAATTAAAAAACTAGAGATAGGGTAAAACATTTGATATCTAACTAGATTTATGTTGGTATATGTGGGGAGCCACAATGAATGACCTCATTCTTCCAGTCCTTATGTCTCAGATTCTGAATGCAACCACTGCATTCGTTCTGGTTAGGGTGGATTCTAGCTAGGATAGTAAGATGGTCTTCTTTGTGGGATRTGCCCCCGGGGTTGGGTTACATTCATCTTTCCCTCTTAGCCCTGCCCCTCCTGGCCTTTTTTTGGATAGAACTTTCTAAAGAACAAGAGTCCCCCCAGTGAAAGCTCACTTCTGAAGGTGATCTCTGTCYCCCTCCTTCCCCCTCCTTCCCTTTCCTACCCCTTCCCCCCCCCTCCTTTCTCTTGCTTTCCTTCTTGGGGAGCCTGAGGCCGAAAGTGGAGAAACCATCCTGAAGCTTGTGTAAAGTAATTTGTGTCTGTATTTGGTGTCCTTGAAAATTTGCACTAGCTATCTTAGGTTCAGCTACATGCAGGTTGGGGGTAGTAAGTATAAAAGACTCAATTTAGTGTACAATTCAATAAATTTTAGTCTATTTACATGTGGCAACCATCATTACAGTCAATCTTGGGACATTTTTGTCACTTTAGACAGAAGTCGTGTGCCTTTTCACTATCACACCTTTCTATTACTCCATTAATCTCTGTTTTAAGCAACCAGTGATCTGTTTCTATAGATATGCTTATTTTGGACATTTCACATAAATGGTCATATGATATGTAGTCTTTTATGACTTCTTTTGCTTGTAATGTGGATCAAACAGAAGTCTACCTACTTTGAGGTTAAAAATATTATCGTGAAAATGTGTTTCTTACCAAGACAAGATCTCCCAAGTCCTCCATAACAGCTGAAAGGGAAATACAGTTTTGAAGTTTATACATTGTCATTGCATCCAACGTTTTGACTAAAAGCTTGCTTTTCCTGCCTACTATCTAACTCCAATGCCTAGCACAGCACTTTGCACAGACATTAATATTGTTTAACAAATCAAAAGTTGAGTGTGCTTATTTATTTGTGGAGAAGTATTCTGAATACCTCCAAGGGTCAGGATAGACAGGCCCCTTAATATTGACCCCTTTAAACCCCAAGATCCACATCTGAGAAATGGAGTGTGTTACTAGATTGGTAGAAATTGATCTATTTTTACTAACTGCTACTTTGATTATTCTCTTTTAGACAAAACCTGAGTGGTTACAGGACAAATGCTATCTGCACAGAAATAATTTATCTAGTGTCTTTAGAAAAGGAAAACATGACATGAAGTCAGAGACACACAAGGAGAATCCTGTGGTGACAGAAGCTGAGACTTGAGTGATAATTACTAGCCAAGGAACACTGAGGAATGACAGCCACCACCAGAAGCCAGGAAGAGGCAAGAAAGTCTTCTACCCAGTCTCAGAGAGTGTGGCTCTGTTGACACCTTGGTTTTGGACTTCCAGTCTCCAGAACTGGGAGAAAATAAATTTCTGTGTTATAAGCCATCCAATCCTTGGTACTTTGTTACAAATAGCCCAAGGGAACAATGTAAACGGTAGCAATAGTGTTCACCAAGTTCATAAAGGACTAAAAATGTTTAAGCAGAACAAGCCAGAGAGCACTGGCAGAGAATGGGACCGTGAAAAAAATTTAACAGACCCTCTTACTGTCTAGTAATATGAGCATTCAAAATAACAGAATGATAGAACATTATCTTTGTCCAAACAAACTTGTCATTGTAGGACCTTTGAAAGTTCTAGAATAAGGCAAAATTCTAGCCATCAGATGCAGTATTTTATGGGAGCCTGAAACATTCAATATATGCAAGCTCACCCATCCCCCTGTCCATCTCATCTGTATTCTGTTCAAACATTAGGGCATTTAGTTTGCTGAAACCTGCTATGGTAAAAATTGTTAAGCTTCAAAAAACCCAACTAGTTGGTCTTCAAATAGTTTGGTCTTCAGAAACTTTTCAGTAGAAGTTTCTTTTAAAAAATGTTTTTGGCGGTGCRTGGTTGTGCATGCCTGTAATCCCAGCAGCTCGGGAGGCTGAGGCAGGAGGATCACAAGTTCAAAGCTAGTCTCAGCAACTTAATGAGARCCTGTCTCAAATAGCAACAAGAGTTAGGGATGTGGCTCAGTGTTTACATTCCCAGTACAAAATAAAATAACATATTATTTAATTATATATATTATATTATTTACCATATATTAAAATATCTATATATCATAGCTATTAAAAAAGGTCTCAGAATAAGTTTTTTAAAAAATGGGTCTAAAAATTGGAAACATACTTTTCACTAGCTATATTTAACTAATTACCATTTTGCCTATAGTTAACAGAAAATTAAGCAGAGATAATTGAGTCTATTCTGAAAATTTGCTTTTATAATTAGAACTAGATGAGAGACTATGCTTAAGAAAGTTTGGAAACCATAGAATGTAGGATGGCTTCTAGTTCTTTATTGCCCATCTGCAAGCTTTAGTTCTCTTTATATCAGACTTTAGATTGGCCACAAAAAGGTGTTATGTCACCAAAGACTCTGTACTGGTGGGTTTGCCTTTGGAACTGGTGCAGTTGGATGAGGTTCAAGGAGGGAAGTTCTCTGGATTTTTCCTTTCACAGGGGCCCTGAACCTATGCAGCTGTTGGTAGTCTGTATACCTTGAGCTCAAAGCAATGACTTGAAGTACCTTAAGAGTTTTTGAGGTAATCACACTTTAATGCTCTCTAATTTGTTTAGTAAAAATGAGGTGGCTTATTAAGTTACAAGAATGAGCAACAAACAAAGTGAAGGACTAGCTTTAGCTCTCCTTTGCTCTGTGTCTCACTTCTGGAAAGTCATCTGTGGTTTATCATMCACAGTACCATTTCTACAACCTACTATTCATTGCCACTCTCTTGTACCCTTAAAGCTACTTCTTTCTTTTCTTTTCTTTGGTACTGGGGATTGAATCCAGGGGGGCTTACTCACTGAGCCACATCCCCATTCCTTTTTTCATATTTTATTTAGGGACAGGGTTTTGCTGAGTTGCTTAGGACCTTCTAAGTTGCTGAGGCTAGCTTTGAATTCATGATCCTTCTGCCCAGCCTCTCCATTTTTAACCCATTTCGCTCCCTTTCCTTAACCCATTTTATTTTGTTTTAAACATTTATAAAGCAGCTTGTATTTTTTTATAGCCACTGACACAGTCCCATTTCACTCTGGTAACAAATGCATATCAAACAATTTTCAAGTCATATTCTTTAAGTTGCTCATTGCTTAGGGATGACTTATTTGCTTTAAATTTTGAAATTTTTTTTTTTTTTGGCTATTGAAAATAACTAAGCAACTAACTGATAGCCTAAATGACAAGTGAATAGTATATAACAATAATGCTCCACTTTTTGTAATGGTGGTCCCCAAATTGCAACTTAAGGTCTAAGACAAAAATAAGGGCAGGGGGCAGGGAGCCTGTGACCTTATTCTAAAAATTTCCAATTAAATTTATTTATTGTCCTTACTCTTGAAAAGCAGTAACAATAAATATCTGAGTGCTCACTCTGTACCAGGCATTGTGGTAGCACTTTCAATGCATTATGTCCTTTGAATCCTTACAATAAAAATATGAGGTAGGCAATAACTGAACAGTTTAAGAAACCATTTTGACTGGGACATTTCTCATGTAATGTATGCAGAAAAGGAGAACATACTGTATTAAGGTTTTTCGGTTATTCTTGAGACAGATTGCAAGCTCCTCCATTATATCACAGCAGCTGGCTATGTCAGGAGTCCCTCCATCTGGGATTGGATGGTGATGAGTTGTAATTCCATACTGCTGGTAGAGGTCCAAGAGGTTTGGGACTCTATATTTTGACAGTTCCCCTCTGGTGCAGAAAACAAATATGTCTTGTATACCATAGCTCTTTAGTTCTTCTGCCAACAGACCAAGATACACACAGACACACACATATGAAACATTACAAATTTAAATATGGTCAAGAGGGAGAATATGGAGTTAAGTTTCTAAAGCCAAACTAGTAACAAGTGATAATTTATAAATTTGAAATGCTGAATAATTAAATCTAATCATATAAGTCAAAATACTATGTACTGAATTCCAAGATGAGACAATCATATTATGTATTGCTTTTCTTGCAAAAAAAGTTTATAATACTGCTTTAATATGAATCTGAAAATATCTAATACTATAAACTCTTGAGAAGGAATGGGTAGCACATTTTTTTCCTCCCCACATCAACCATACTTGCTATTTAATCACTCTGCTGTTTATTTTATCACAAACATTGTATGTAAAACCTCTAGCCAGAGTTCTTGTGTTACCCCTCATATCTACTCTGTACCACACCATTGTGTATTTATTTTACGGACCAGATCTCTAGAAAATAAAGCATTAATTGTATTTAAAATTACATTTAGTTATTTTCACTATAAGAATCAAGAAATATTACTTTACGAATTCTATGCATGGGAACTTCTTTAGGGCAATTCACTCCAGAGCATTKGGTTCAGAATAAATAATCTTGGCTAATTTAAGCTTGCCCCTGCCCCCAAATCCAAGGACATTTAGCCATTGAGGTACAAAGTACCTTTTCTCTTGACCCTCTAGATCTGCAGTTGAAAGGCGGCTAGTCCAAACTGAGATGTACTATAAAAGACATACCTAATTTCAAAGACTAAGCACACAAAAATAACTATCTCATTAATTATTTGCTTTATACTTAAAAGCTGRTGAAATGATAATTTAGGATATACTAAACTAAATAAAAGGTATTGTTAAAATTATTTTTACTTGTTTTTACTTTTTTAATGTGGCAAGTAGAAAATGTAGTTATAGATATGGCTTCCATTATATTTTATTAGACAGTGCTGCTCTTGATAAAACTATTATATTTTTGAACTGGTAAACAAGTATTTATTAATATATCTAAGCATTTTTAAATGGGTAAGTAATTCTGTTTGCTTTTTGTACACATCAGAAAATTTCTACAGACTGTCCTAGAAAGGACTCTGAGGAGATGCCATGGTAACTAATGCAAGGAAAGTCCAGCCTGTTTTTCTGTGATGCTGACAGCTGAACCCATGGCTATATCCACAAACCACCAAAGTGGGGGAAAATTGAAAACCCTTTTACAAAAGATACTAAATTAATAGGGCATTCCAAAATGTATAAGTTTGGTCTTGAACCAATGATTTAAATTATATTTTGCTTATAACTTAAATGTTCTCTAAAACAGAAATTTCCTATTACAGTAGGTTTGTCTAAAGCAGAAAATCTTTATAAATAACTGCAAGGGTCAACTCATCTATTAGCCTCATTAAGTCTTTTTGGGAAGTAAGGAACAAATTAAAGTACATTAGCAAACTGATATTCTAGAACAACCAAAAAAGATTTAATTTTTTTTTTTTTTTTTTTTTAGTTGTAGATGAACGCAATACCTTTATGTGGTGCTGAGGTTTGAACCCAGTGCCTCATATGTGCTAGGCAAGTACTCTACCACTGAGAATAAGATTTTAAGGTTTAAAAAAGCTATACTGGTCAGGGTCAAGCAATACATACATTCTTTATTTTTTGGAGTATAAAGATGTTGGTGGCACTAATAGGATTGAGATATTCCAGGCCAATCAGAATAAGATATTTTAAAAAGATTCATATTTATAAGTATTGTACTATATGAAAATTCCAAATGTGGATAGATTAGGTTTTGAAAATTATTATTAGACTTGAAGTTATAGTGTCCTTGAAAATTATTATTAGACTTGAAGTATGAATGTCCTTGGGCATGGAAAACCAGTTCCCACTCTGATTTCACCCTAGATGCTAGCTCTACATTTCCTATCCAGGATGGATGGTTTCATTGCTGCCTCTGGGTTCCCAGCTTGGGATTAATTCCTACTACCGCAGTCAAGTCTGCAAGGAAAAGAATGATCAAAGATCTAGATAGTACAAAATGTCAGTTTCCTATTTATATAATTTCATCCTCTATCATATGTACTAACCTCAAATACAGTTTTTATGTATAATATATAGCAGTTGGTGAAAAGTCATGTTGAGATAAATGATGAGTTCTCTGGGTCTTTCACAAATACATTTTCACACATTAGAATAAGTTTATTTTGAAACTTGAAGTTATCAAACATTGATTGAGAAGAAGACTATAGTTTGTTCCTTCTGATAAGGAGACTTTCAATGTTTTTTAAATTATTAGTATGGTTTTGTCTCAAATTACACCTACCTGTATCTTTTTGAATATTTCTTCTAACATCTTTAAATTTACAACCTATAAGTAGTAATAATGCAAGTAAAAAAAAAAGTCAGTTTTTGGTAATATATAACAAGCACATTTAAACACATATATAGCTACTTTTAGAAAATCATTCCATGTGACCATTTACTTTCAATTTAATTTTGAATGTGAATTTTAATTTCTTAGATTCTTCGGAACATAATTAGAAGAATTCATAGATTCTAGTTGAAGAAACTCCTAAGCCAGAACTCTTTATTCTGTGTTTCTGTGATGAGTGGCTGGTTGTGGTCCTCAGCCTCATTTGTACCCCAGGGATTAAGTTTTATTAAGATAGGTAAATCAGAAATATAAAGCTCTGAAGGCAGCTCTGGAAGGGTTGAAGAATGGATCTGTGTACCTTTATCTATAACCAAACATAAAGGCTTCCAAAGTGAGTTACCCAGTCTAGATCTATGAGATTCTTTCATTGCTCAGTATACAGAATAATGTGTTAACAGTCAAAAAGATCTCCAAAATATATGAATAGGAAGCCAACTGTAGTATAACCTACCTGGCAGAGCACATAAACCAAGAAACTGAGAACAATTCACTTGTGACAGAGGTAGCCTGAAAAGAAAAATTTAACAAGTTCATTTTTTAAAWAAGTTACAAATGGCTAAGGTGCTGTGTGCATGCCTGTGATCTCTGCTACTTGGGGGGAGGCTCAGGCAAAGATGATTGCAAGTTTGAGGCTATCCCAAGGAACTTAGCAAAACCCTCTCTTAAAATATAAAAAGGGCTGGGGATATAGCTCTGTGGTACAGCACTTACCTAGCATGCACAAGGCCCTCAGTTCAATCCCCAGGACCCACCCACCATTTCCCACAAGCTATAACTGGAAACTCAACCAACATGAATGCTTGTCACCAAATAAGGGCGTTTTAAAACTTTACAGAAGTCACAAAGCAAAAATTAATAGTTAATATCCATAGGTGGATCACAAAAAAGCTTAGAAAGACTGAAAGATTTAAAATAAGAAGTTTTAAAACTTAGCATTTGCTTTCTTAGAATTTAAGTCTTAAATGGTATGTTAGTTTAAATTTACCTTAAAGATAATCCCAGGTAGTATACAGGGTACTTAAGTTATTCTATGGGATGTTACTTGAGATATTTTGTATTTCAGATTTAATATCCCTTATCTAAATTGTTTGTTACCAGATGTATTTCAGATTTTGGAGTTTTTGAATTGTGTTAATTTGCAAAGAATTTATTGGTTGAGCATCCCTAATCTGAATATCTGACATCTGAAATATTCCAAAATTCAAAACCTTTTGAGTATCATGTTGGCACTCAAAAGGTTTTGGATTTTAGAGCACTTCAGATTTCAGATTAAGGGTGCTTGATCTGTTGTAACTTTAGATAAATGAACTGAAGTATGACCATCTGACAATTCCATCTTTAGCATTCATTTTACATTACTATTTTAAGATTTTTTTTGGTAGAACTACTTTAACAGATATGATTTCATATAATGACAACCATGGCTACCCATTCCTGTTGTAATGGATTTTGATTAAAATAAAATATTATCTGTTCCCAGTTTGCAGTACTCAGGGACAGAGGTTCATCCTGTTTTCAAGTCAGGAGATCAAGTTAGAARAAAACAGGAGGCATGATATAAATACTGTATGACATTAAAAAAGGCTGAAAAGGGGAATGAAAGGTAATGCTACTTGATGGCAGGACAAAAGAACATCAGAGACAACACYATTTAGTACTCCTTTCCTACTGTAGAGATGGTGCTTTCCTGAGGAGAGACAATTACATTCACAGGGATGAGAGGAAGCATTTTTTGGTTGTAGAGCATCTGGTAAATCATAAATCACTTGCTAACACTTGGAAGTTGATTTTTTTATAGAAATTCTTTTTGGTTATTATATATATTTGGATTTTATCTTAAACAGAGTTTACTGACAGATGCATTACTATGACAAATGGTTGAAATATTATCTAAGATTTTGACTTAATAATAAATGATTATCTTGCTGGGTGTGGTGGTGCACGACTCTACTCCCAGCTGCTCAGAAGTCTGAGCAGGAGGATTGCAAATTCAAAGCTAGCCTCAACAACTTAGMGAGGTCYTAAGCAACTCAGTGACACTCTGTCTCTAAATAAAATACAATAGGGCTGGGGATGTGGCTCAGTGGTCAAGYACCTGTGAGTTCAATCCCCGGTACCCCAAAATTATCTCATCCTACATTTGGTATACTATTCTTTGGCCTTAAAAGAATAAGTAGATTTTGGTGAGAGATCATTTAAAAAATCCTACCTCTACTCCTTATTTACTTGCTTCTATTAAGATTTTCTCAATTGTAAATAAAGAGAACAAAAGGGCCTTATAAATTGCAGAGTTCAAAGATCCCTCAAAGATTAGAATTACATAATCAGAAGATAATCACTGAATGTTTTCAACATGTGAATTATATTCTACAAAGAGTACAACACTGATTAGAAATGCTAACATACCATGATATCTGAATTGGAGTCTGTTCATCTTCAATAGGCTCTTCATCTGAGGAGTCAAACTCACTTGCTTGTATTGAAATAGGCTTCAAAAGAAATGTTATGTTAGAAATTATAAAAAAAATTTATGTATAGCTGTAACATAGTTGACTCTGGCCTAAACACCCACCRAATTCATATTTTCTATTTATTTTGTCACCAATCTGGACTATCAGACATCAGCAATATCAATAATAAATGATTACTATTTTACCATCCTATTAATAATCTTAGCACTGCATAGTGGAAAGATCGTTGTACACAAGACTCTTCAGTTTATCCTGGATGTGTCTTCCTTAAATATGAAGTGAAGAGATTTGTTTACTCATTCACAAGCATTTCTTGGACACCTTCAGTGGCCAAAACTCTCGAGATAGGAAGATCCATAAAGTAAATAGCTTGCCTTCAGTGTAGTTGTAGGGACASATGTGTATAGATTACAAAAGAAAGACTTTACTTTGAGACAGGGTCTCACTAAGTTGTTTAGGGCCTGCCTAAAGTGCTGAGGCTGGTTTTCAATTTTTGACCCTGCTTCAGCCTCCTGAGTCACTGAGATTACAGGCGTGTGCCACACCCAGCAGGAGGAGAACGATTTTAGTGCTAAAATGGAAGAAGAAACCACATGCTAGAGCGGAAAAGGGAGTGACTGACAACTTAGGGAACTAGAAAAGTCTTTACAGAGATGCTTACTCTGAATTTTGAAGGAAGAACAAGAGGTTTCTAGGCASATACGGAGTTTAGGAAATTAAGACAAAAAGAGAAAGGGTTTGTGTATTCAGAAACTGTGATGTTGAAATAGAGATGAAACAGAGGAGATGAAGCTAGCAAAGTAGTTTCTTAAAAAATGACTCCTATATAGGGGGCAGCTTGGTGGTGGATGGGTGGAGTACAGACAAACTAGCCTGCCCCCAAATTTAGGAATCACTAGACTAGAATTGTTGAGATGGCCCCAGTGTGCTGATCTAAGCAGGTGGAACTCAATCCTGAAGGCAGAATTTTTTACATGGAAGCTTTGATACTTTGTACGAATTTACAAGACCAATTTAAAAAATACCGTTTTCCTGCTCCCTAATTGGAACAAGCTGAGAAATAAGACATTGGATTGGTACATGGAAATCAAAATGTTATTGTCAAGCAAAAGAAGTAGCTTAAAGGTTGAGTGAGCTTGCCACATCTCCACCCCATAATTAGACTAATCTTCCCAGTTACAGGCACTGATGGACAACCCAGGGCTCCTGTGTGACAAGGAGTAGGCCAGAAAGCACTTTCTGGAGGCAGGCACATAGATCTAGAGAGAGAAGTGAAGAAAAGGTTGAGCTACTTGTATTCAGTTCCTCCCAAACTCAAAGATCAGATAACTTACTCTTCCCTTCTGGGGACAAATGGAGAAAGAGGCCAGGAGTTAAGGACAGCTGATGTCTCCTCACATGGAAACAGGGATTAGCAAGTGTAAACACCTAATGCCCTGTCTTAGCTCTTAAGTTATGTTCTATGATGATCCTGTTTGTTACCATAAGATCACATGACAGAGTGATTTAAGATCTGTTGCTTTGGATCTATCTATAGTGTAATCAACTCAACCTCAAAGAAGGCCCTTCAATAGGATGTCAACCAAGGTGGGACTCCAGCTCCTTGCCAACGTCTGTTTTTCCTTTACTTTAAAGCAATTTTGATTAATAAAATTTTAAATTTGTGTGGGCCATTAGCTCTACTTCTCCTAATCAGGCTGGACATTTCTGCTTCCCTGGCCCCAGTGATTCTGAATCTCAGGGAAAGGAATGCAATGCCAAATGTTCCTGGGGGATGGCGGCAGTTATGATGTYGCCCCAAGCCGGGGCAACACATTCGCATTCATGATTTTTCCTAGGGGTTTCATGGCAGCCCCCAGACACCCTTCGGGGGTGGGATATCACGCTTATTAATACGATGAAACACTTAAAACTCTTTATGCCTCATTTTTCTCCATAATCCTGGGCTTGGCCTTCTTTTGCAAGGCTGTCGAGAGGTTTATAAGAAACCCACAGGTGACAGACCACAGCAGGCACACAGTGAGTGTCTGACTTCCCCTCGTCCACCTCGAACCCAGGTCTGTGGGATCTGGCTCCTTCACAGCGGTCACTGTTGCCGGTGCGGGGAAGCGACACCTCCCCGACCCACAGGACGGTTAAGGCGCGAGTCGCGCCGCGACCAATCCCGGGCTGTACGCCCAGTCTCAGAAAGGCCTAGAGAACTGCTCCGGTCACTGCAGCTTCGCTCCTACAAGTCCCATCCTACCCGACTCACCGGCTTCATCGCTGGCCGCCGCACGCCTTGACCAGTGCCACCTCCCGGTTCAGCACCCGCGTCTCAGTCGCTGCCCCGCGCGGACCCCGCCTCTCCCTTCAACTCATTGGTATGTCTTCTGGGAGGTGGGGCGCGGCGTCTTCTAAGAACCAATCAAATCCTGGCCCTGTTGTTTGCTCCGCCTCCAGGTGCCCGGACTTAGCCTTTAACCGCTCATTGGTTCTTAGAAGGCCTTTGAAAGACGCGCGGGAGGAGGGTCTTGCGGAACGTTGATTGGCTGGGAGCGTCCTCCTCCCGCCAGTTGGGAGCGTGGAGAGTACAGGGGGCGGGGAGAGGGGCGGGGCGAGTCTTCTGATAGCTCCCGCGCTTTGAGTCAATGCAAAGCTGTGCTTTCTAATGGCAGGAGGTACGAGTGGTTCAGGGTAGGGAGATTTTGCTTGCTTTCGTAACGCAGGAATATATGTAATAGGGTGCAGATCAATCTTCCTTTTCACAAATATTAAGTAATATTGTATGAAAGGAAGAGAAAATGATGCCAGGTGGGTTTACAGTGCCAGTGTTTTTACACAATCAGCTATCTTTACAGAATGTATTGGATTATTTTCTCCTTTTCCCCAGTTCCTATTTAACTGGCCATAGCAAAGGAAGACACCCAGAGCCATATTACCTACGCATCTGAGAAAAACATTCAAAAAAGATTTCAACTCCCTGGCTCATGTCTGAAAGCCAGTGGGCATAAAGCTATTAGTATTCCATAGTAAAGAAAAGGGCACAGTTTGACTTAGGGGCGGCGTTAGTCAGGGTTCTCCAGAGAAACAAAATGAACAGGATGTGTTCATGAATACATAGAAAGAGATTTTGAAGAATTGGCTCTCCTGTGGAGTCTTGGTGAGTCCCAAACCTGAGGAGATAGGCCAGTGGGTTGGAAACTTGGGAGAGAGTTGTTCAAATTCAAAGGTAGTCTGTTTGTAAGACCTGGAAGAGCCCAAGTTGGAGATAACTAACTGCCATCTGCCAAAGAATTCCCCTTGTGCTGGGGAAGCCAGTTTTATTCTATTCAGGCCTTCAACTGATTGGATGAGGCTYACCCATGTTATGCCGGCAGTCTGCTTTACCTAAAGTCCACCAATTTAAATGTAAATCTTATCCAAAGCTACCCTAACAGAAATATCCTGAATTATATTCCTCCAAATATCTTGGTATTTGGCTCAAAATTAACAAAACTTAACCATCTTAAGACCCACTGGAATTTTCTATAGTCAGGGAATGTTTTTAGATCTTTGCTATTCAATATGATACCGTATTGACCCATTATCTCCAAAATCAAACACACACACACACACACACACACACACACACACACACACACACTCACAGAGGAAATGCTTCCTCATACGTATCCTCTTTTAATATAATTTGCTTCCTTAGATGATATTGCAATAGAGCTGGGGAACTGGTCACAATCCACCACAGATTTATGATTATTGGTTTGGTCTGTTAGTTCATGCCCCAGTCTGGCTGGGCACAAATAACCGAGCCGCCACAAAGCCTTGTAGGTTCAAACAGAAACTCTTTATTCCCCAACTCTCACTGGCACTGCACACACACTCCTCTGGAACACACACCCTTCACCTGGCTCCAAGCCCAATCTCTCCGAACCCCACGAACCCCACGAGAACTCCACTCTGCCCTATTCCCCCCCCCCCCCAGCAGGGTCCATATACAACTCAATCAATCCAGCATCACAGCAATTATATACAGCTTAACTCAAATCATCATCTCAATGGTTCGCTGGCATCACCTTTCAACCATTCCCTTTGGCAATATTCCATTCTGACTCGGCTGTGGCTCTCAACAAGTTCATATTTCAAATTGGTGGCTCTGGTACTATGTACAAGGGGATATCTAGACTTAGAGTCCTGCCTTACTTATGTCAAATAATCAACAAGCATTTGAGGTGCACCTACTTTCTGATGTATGACTATGGTCATGGGCACTTTAAGTACAATGGCTGTGCCCAGTTTGAAATACATTTACATTTGCATATATTAAAAAGTAAACCAGTCTGGCCTGGGTGACATTGTGAAAGAGGTAAAGGTTGGTTATTGGCATTTGAGGCACTCATAGTTTAGCTTTGACCCCACTCTCTCACCGGTTAAAGTGAAGAAGACTGGGAAGGTGTGTTGAAGGAAAAGAAAATGTCAGAAGCACCTGACCTATTTGCTTTGCTGCAAGGTCACTGAGAGAAAACAGGGCCAAAGAAAGGGATAGGAAGGAGAAAAACTGGTTGCTATGGTTTGGAAAGTGTCCTCCAAAGGCACTTGTATTAAAGTCCTGATTGACAGCCTGTGGTGCTCTTGTGCGATGGTGCAACTTTTCAGAGGTGGAGCCTTATGGGAGGAAGTTAGGTCACTGAGGGTTACACCCTTAAAGAGGATATTTGAACCCCAGGCCCTTTCTGTTTCTCTTTTACTTCTTAGTCGCCATGAGGTTAACAGCTTTCTACACCACGCACCATTAAAAAGAAAACATATACTTCTTGGCTATCTGATGGAATAAGAATCTATACCAGGGCTGGGGTTGTAGCTCAGTGGTACAGCACTAATATGCTCACATATTAGATTACCTAGGTGGTCTGCATGTATGAGGCACTGGTTTTAATTCTCAGCACCATATAAAAATAAATAAATAAAATAAAGATATTGCGTCCATCTACAACTAAAAAATATATATTAAAAAAAAAAGAATCTCTACCAGAGGCAGAATATTTAGTCATTGTGTAGAAGCACTTGGAACTATGTGATCTTTAACAATAACGAGTAAATCTGCCATTTTCCAAGAGCTTTTTTAATGTATTGGGCACAGTTTTAAGTTCTTTTACTGCATCTTTTTCTTTTAATTCGTTTCACTTCGTTATCCAAAGAGGTGGGTCAGAAAGATGAGCAACTTGCTCAAGGTTAACTGCAAGTGAGAACAGGGAATTGACCCAGGTGGGTGGATGCTACAGGCTGATGCTCTTGAGCACTATGTATGCTATTCTGCATCTCTAGAAAAATTTGTTGTCTGTATCTTTTAGATATGTGCTCAATTGAGTGTCCCAGAACTTGGGCACAGGTGGCATACTAGGTGTTAAACTAGTAAAAATGCTCACATATTAGATTACCTAGGTGGTCTGCAGAAGTTAATTGAGATAAAATGGAACTCCAGACAGAGCTGTGCAAAAATAGGATCAGGGGAATCAGACTATAATATGAAGAAGGCAGAACTGAATGTGAAAGAGAACTCTAACTTGGTAACTATAGTGATAAATCTGTATTAAGTATATCCCAACAAAATGACAGCTGGCTGGAAGTCCAGCTAAGGAAGCACTCTAAAAAGGAAATGTCCATGTTTTTTTCTTGCCCTTCCCAGGAGGGGTATAGCAGAGATTGGTGTTTCACCTAACAATTTCCTCCTCTACTCAGGCACACAGCTACTTTTTCCAGTTTTCTTTACAGCTCGATGTTCATGTACCTGAGTTCCTGCTAATGAGTGGGAGGTGATATGTGCCACTTCTAGGCCTTGCTAAGAGGCTCTTGCACAAATTCATCTCCATACTTTGAGCATCAACTGATGCAAAGGAGCARTTCAACCTTGGGAAGCAAGAAGAAAAAGTACAGCAATTTTAAGATGCTATTGATGGCAAGATGTAGCTTAATTTAAAAAAATATTTAATACTTAAAAATAAAATCTTAATTATAGCTGTTCACAGGGATATTTTAATCACTGGAACGGTCCATCGCCATTAAAAATGGTATGTTGGCATTTGGTTTATAGTTTGAGTTCTTKCAGGTTTGGTTAGAATGCCTTAGTTCTGAAGCGTTTGATCAATACCTTGTGCAGGATCACTGGAATGTAAACTCAGTTTTGTCCATTTTTTTCTCTGTTGTTTGCCCAGAGAACATGAGCAAACATTYGTTACATGAATGAACACTGTTTTAGTCAACTTTTTCACTCCTGTGACTAAAAGAACTGACCAGAACAATTGTAGAGGAGGAAACATTTATTTGGGGGCTCGTGGTTTAAGAGGTCTCAGTCCACATACAGCTGGCTCCACTCCTCAAGGCTTGAGGTCAGGCTGAACACCATGGCAGAAGAATGTGGTGGAGGGAAGTAGCTCACATGATGATCAGAGAGCAGAGAGATTCTACTTGCCAGATACAAATATATACCCCAAGGCACGCCTCCAGGGACCCATCTCCTCTAGCTACACGTTATCTACCTTTATTTACCACTCAGTTAATCTCATTGGTGGGTTAATTTACAGACTGAGTTAAGACTATTACAACCCAATCATTTCTTGTCTAAACCTACTTGCATTGTCTCACATATGAGCTTTTGGGGACACCTCACATCCAAACCATAATAAATGCAAAACTGGAGATTAGCCATGGCTCCATGAGATCTTGCCTAGCACAACAGCCAATTCCCCTCAGACTTAGCCATAGAAGGCTTTCAAGATGGTGCCCAGAAACTCAGGGAATCTGATACTTTACTTTAGAGGTTSATAGTATTGTTGGGGGWTGTAATATTTTTGTGAGGAATTTGAAATAAAACTATGTAATCAAGGCTCAGTTCTATTGTATGGGTAAGTGACTTGTTGAAAAGGATCAGAGAGAGAAATCAAAATACACCAGAAAAATCTGGGAAAGCTTTGTGGAATAATAATTTATTAAYCATATCCAACATGTTAAGGACTGTTCTAATTTCTTTCCATATTTACATAAGTCGTGATAGATAGCACTCAGAGCCACAATCCGTAACCCTCTTGATATCCATGGCCTTTGCCAAGAGATTTTGCAGATCCTTTCACTAATGAGGTAAAGTATGTTTTTGAACTCCTTGACTCYGGGTTTGGCTTTGTGACTTGCCTTGGCCAATGGAGTGTGAGTGGGTGTGGATGTTGGGAGGCTCCCAAGATCCACCCGCAGGTTCAAAAATTTGCCAGGAGGTCTCACATGACTCAGCATAGATTGTACTCAGAGCTGCATTTAAAAGCTTGTGAAAGATACCAACCAAAGTCATCAAAGAGAAAGGTGCATGGGGCCAAG